TTTATCACGATTAATCCGTCGCGACGGATTAATCCGTCGCCACCCGTTTTTTCCACCCGAGTTACGGGCTTTATTGTATCTCCGCATACTTTCAAAACTCATTTGCGTGATCACCAGTCGTAGCTAAAAACTGATTCAAATGGAGGAAATCGTATAACAGAAAATCAGTTGATTGCTTATGAATAACTGAAACATAACATCATTTGTGTCATATACATACGGTGATAGAATGTCCATTTTCGCGTAAGATTATATGTTAAAGTGGTTTTAAAAATTCAAACATTTTAGCACTAAAATGTCGATGCGTAGATGCCTTGACGTTTCATGATTTCTTCTCAGTTATGAAAATTATGAGCGCAACATGAGCAAATAAAACTAATTTTCCTATCACTACCTCTCACCTTCACAAGTGTTTTCGCACTAGCTAGTAGTATATGAACATTGCATCTACATACTTCGAGAAAAGGAAAGGGAAATAACATTGCTTTTATGTGGAGTTGCGCTAATGCTGCCCCCTATAATTATAAAACAAATACCCTTGGGTTCTCTTCTTGTTACAATACCAGCTTTCAATTACTTCACTTAAGCTAGGTAGAAACGATTCAAGTTAATTTGGAAGAGATATGTAGCTCGGAATTCATTGTGACAAACCAGTGGGGTAATTGTCGATGTAATGTTTGATTAAGAATTCATACCGAGATAATTTTGTTGTAGTAACATAGTATACATTATAATGATGAGAATCATTGAAATTAAAAATCTACTGGGGACTGACATGCTACGAAAATCATCTATTTTTCGTCTCAAGCAGCATGATAACTACGAATAATGTATTTTATGCGTTACTAAAAACTGTCGACTAGGCTGGCCCACCCTGCAAATTCGTCCTGCATAAATTCCGAGGTTGTTTGTGATCCTTCAATTTCATGCAAGATTCGTAGATCATTCATTCAACTCAAAAGAGTTAGTAGAACATTGAGCAATTGATAAGGTGCATGATATTCAGGGTGACTGTCTTCTAATCAGCATGCGAGCTGCACGCTATTATCCAAAAATGTCGATCGAAAAGTCCGAAACAACGTACCCATATTAGCTGCTAATCTTTTTTTGATGTACTATTGAAATCTAGCAGCTTAGATCGAAAATTGTAAGAAAAAATCGTAAAAAAATTGATCGTGGTTTTTTTTGCAGTCGTTAAGTTCGTAATAAGCATGTCAACTCATCCCTGTACACTAACAAGTTTCAACAATCAGAAGCAAAGTGGAAGAGTCCCCAAAAAAATTTTCTAAGATCTATCTTTTTGAATGGGGTTTATATTCGAGGCAATGCGTTAGGATAGTGCTGGTTTTTCTGCACTTTTCGATCTAGGACATTTAAAATTCATCTTCAGAATAAGCGCCAAGGATTGTGTGTTGAGATTACCAACAACCCAGACCATATTAATCCTTGGATTTGATACGAAGTCTGGTCACCCAAACACCCGATCATACCTTATCTAGTGAGATTGGCTATGCGTTATTCTAGATAGGTATTTTGTACTTCCCAATTAAGTGTTGTCTTGTTATGATGTTGGCGTCTAAACGAGTGGTTCAGTGTATGTTCGACTTTCCAGCTTTGACGAAGGCGGTAGTGCCAAACGTTGGCCATCAATTAAAAGAGTTAACATCTAAGGGCAGCATAGCAATTCAAAACAGTTGCTCTATGATGGATATAAAAATAATCCTCGCTCTTAGCCCCATAGCATCTTCA